TTATTCGTGTAAATAAACATGAGTGTATTCCTGAAAACAAAAGTCCAATAGTAATAAAATTATTTTCTCGTTATGATTTTATGACATCTTTGCAAGTGACAGTGACAGTAACATATTTTAACTAGGCATTAACATGCACAATTTTGTCCCTGCCATTTGTTACAGACGCCGAACGTCAACCACAGAATTCCGTCCACAAAAAGTTGGAGACTATAACAATATGTCACCACTTGTAGACTTCCACTCCTTGATGCGTATCAATTAAACCTTTAACCATAACGTGCACCTATTCGCTTGCATTTAGCGAATAATTCGTAAACTTTCTCGTGGCAAAATGGATCTGTTTTTCTAGGAGAAGTCGGCTGAGCTTGTCAAAAACATCAAACCTGAGAAGGTCAGAGTCGACAAAAAAAATATTCAATCAGCGTTGAATTTTTCAGATAAAATATGTTTGAATTTCAGTAAAAGTAGCTACATGAATTTTCAATATTTAAATCTTGGTCACTATATCAGCCTACTCAGCGCTCTTTATGTAGTTTAGATTTTTCAATACACCCAATGAATTCATCTGTATCTATGTTAGAAGTATCTTAATTACCCTTCTAAAACATAGTTGAAAACATGTTAATGTCTGTTTAATAGATCAAGATTTTTTGTAACTGGAAACATGAGACACAAGATCTAAGGTCATGTGTAATATGAGAAACCTGTGCTGCATAGCAAGACCGAGGAGGCTGATTGTGCAAAGTTACAAACCACAATAAAAAACAAGACATCTATCGAGTGTATTTGAAAAAATTAGCAAACTCGGAATACTTGGGTAAGGTAAGAACACTTCGGCAAGAGTCGGAATAGTTGGGTAGCCAAGTATACTTGGGCTTCCACATACGTTGTTCCTGTAATTGAAATTCATGAGATACACGTAATATTAAACAATGTAATGATTTCATTTCAATGAAAGTATTGTTGTGGTGGTGGTTAATTTGTGCCCATTTAGTGTTAGCTTCCAGCCCAAACTCCCATCAAGTGTCTCGGAATAGAATATGTTGAAGATTAGCACTGCCACGGAGTCTGCTTCCAGCCTGTATGATTATTTGGCGTCTGTACCTTACGTTTTGTTAGTTACATTGATAGATAGATCTACTGATCTACTGATCTATCTATCAAATAGATCTACTGATCTATCTATCAAATATGACTTTTTAAAATCTCGTTTATGATATAAAAAGGAAAGTTGAAATGACCCGAGGGCGCCCCAGGGGAACGACTAACTAACGAGCATAGTGTAACAAGCCAGATAAAGAAATTGAAAGAAAGTGTCTAAATTCAATGCCAAGCGTGGGAATCGAACCTAGGACCCTTGGATCCGAAGTCTGATGCTCTACCGACTGGGCTATAAAGGCTTAAACCACTACAGCTGGGCTGTAGTAGCAACTTGGTAGCAAGGGTCGTTACACCATCCCCCCCTTGAAAGGACCACGCCCTCGTGGTCAGCCCTGCTTTCCTAGCAGTGACTACCACACACGGGCGCAAAGGATGCAACCAATGCTCTGAACCCACTTCTGACACAAATGTAATGACCCTTGATAGCAAGTTGCTACTACCACTGTGGCTAGTCGATCTATGTGGATGCAGTCATTTATATGCAATGTATCGTGGGTGCTCGCCTCTGTACTTTTCAATGGAAGAATTTTGCACTTCTGTTTAAATAATCTATATTTACTCATCCGTGTATATCATACTTCATTGATTTACAAAACCAAAACTACGCTATAAACACACATTCTCTGATATTTTTACGGAGAATAGATAACTCAAACGAGTTCACTCGACCAGTTTTATCATCTCGCTCATAGCTGTGAGAAGGTATGTATAATTTGCCATAGGTTTACCTTATAATGGGGAATAAAAAATTCAAGTAATATAATTATTTCATGTACACAAATATGTCTGTGTGAAGTAAAATAGAAATACAATGCGTTTTATAATATTTTTGAAGTTATGGTATGAAATATCCGCTTTAAAAAGCAATTTAATTATGATGTATCATGTGGATTAGTAGACGTTCTTAATGGATTCAATGAACAGGCTGGCTAGGTTTTAACCAGAACAACGGCAACGCCAAAGCGTAGCGAATCCCATCGAACAGAAATGGCTGGCATTTTTACAAACGAATAGCAAATATCATAAAACAACACACCAGAAAGGCCACCATTTTCAAAATGGTTGCTCACTAGCCAAGTTGTCATCAGAAGAAATAATATGCTTTTCAGTAGCCACCTCTAAAATTTTTGAAAAATCGCACACGTACTTGTAAAATAACACACATAAAAATGGTGGCCATTTTTCAAAATGGCCGACTACTCCCCAAAGTTTTATTAGACAATGTGCCATGCTTAAAGTATTCACATATCAAATATGAACAAAATTGCTCCACTACTTTTCGAGTTATAGTAAAATACGTTAAAATGGCGGCCATTTTTCAAAAAAAATTCAAAATGGCCGCCTTCTACCAAAAGTGTCATAGGACAATATGCCATGCTTATAGTATTCACATACCAAATATGAACAAAATCGCTCCACTACTTTTCGAGTTATCGTAAAATACGTTAAAATGGCAGCCATTTTTCAAAATGGCCGCCTTCTACCAAAAGTGTTTAGACAGTGTACAATGCTTATAGTATTCACATACCAAATATGAACAAAATCGCTCCACTATTTTTTGAGTTATAGCAAAAATCGTAAAATGACGAGTAAAGGCCGCCATTTTTCAAGATGGCTGCCATGTGCTTCTTTAATATCTACATTTGTAGCATTATTAATGTTCTTTATAATTTTTTTACATTTAAAACATATTGATATAACAGTTTTACATATTGCACCTAAATTACTGTAAAATCGGCACTAAAATGGCCGCCATTTTGAAATGAGCGGCCATTTTGAAAATCGGCTTTCGAGCAGAACTTCTAGCCCCATAAGGTATATGTGTACAAAATATGAACAAAATCGGGCCAACGGTATTTGAGTTATTGCCCGGACGGACGGACGGACGGACAGACGGACGGACGTACGTACGTACGTACGTACGTACGGACGGACGGACGGACGGACGGACGGACGGAGGCGTTCCCTATATCCCTCCGAACTTCGTTCGATGGGATAATTAAATCATTTTGAATGTGTGTATTTTTAATATTTTAATCCACAGTGTCCAAAAACAATAATAATGCTATATTGGTAATTGGAAAGATTCCACTTACCACGATTTCAAAAAAATTTGAAATAGATAATATTATTCTTGTATTTGGGTCATTTGTTTCAAGGAATCGGTAGGCTCGTTCAGCTGAGCTGATCAAGATTTACGGATGGTCCATCTGTTGGCTGCTCATTGTCACTTTTAAGAAATGTTAATGGCTCTGAAACTTGTAGCCTTGCCCAAGTCGGTATTTATTTACTTATCTGATCTTGAATTATTACCACCTTGTACAATCCAATGCATCATCGCTGATATTATGCTAAGTTATTCAGCGGTTCAGAGATTCCCATAATACCTACGCTACCTAAGGGTATCGCGAAACCGTATTGATTGACAAGATCGCATGGACACGACGTGTGACTTCAGGCTGATTGACCAATCAAAACGTTATATGATCTGATCGAGTGTTTCTTGAGGGTTACAATATATTATGTTATTAAATGTACATCGGAATGTAAGCAGTCATTAATACTCGTATAAATGAAATCATGCAATTCAATGTTGATTCAAAATAAAAACTGAATTCGCGATGGAAATGCACGAAGACCTAGTCCGTCGATGTAGGGCCGTCGTTGATTGGTCAAATTTTACCGACAAAAACATTGGGTCGGTAAAGCACGTAGCTTTCTCTTGGGTACAAGGCGGTCATAATAGAACTCAAGATAAATAAAAGAGACTTGGGCAAGGCTATGAAACTTGATTTGTGGGTATTCCAGTGGGTTGATGGGTCTTTGGCTCTGAATTCACTTTATTGGCGTACCTAATTTCAACATTTTCATTGTCATCATTACATGTTATGGACCCGTTGTTCAAATTAACAGTATTAGGGATAAACCATAGTTTTTTCGTCTGTAATGGCATTTTCCAGTTGATGGGTTTATATATAGTATTTTCAATTCTTCATGAGGGTGTCTTGTAATGGTGTGGCTAATTACTTTACTTAATGAGGAATGTTTATCCAAACAATGAATACAAAGAAAATCTGGCCAGTTGTCCATCAGTAAATAAATCATCATGATAAAAGTATAATTTATTATAGCATCCATTTGTTACCGTTCTGAATCCAAATGATACATAGTGGCATCAATTTTATACATATATGTTGACGTTTACGAAATGTTTTTCAAATATCTTCCCTATAACAGGAATATGGTGGCTGAAACTTTCACACATTGTGATATTATGCATATTGAATATGTATGCAAGATTTCAAGTCACAATGTTAGTAGAAACTCTGCGATCACTTACCTCAATTTGCTGTCATATTTTTGCAATGATCCCATTCCCTATAATGTACGCGAGCACCCACAATAATTGCATATAAATGACTGCATCCACATAGATCGACTAGCCACAGTGACTACGGCCTAGCCGTAATGTAGTCGCTTAAGCCTTTATAGCTCAGTCGATAGAGCATCAGACCTCGGATCCAAGGGTCCCAGGTTCGATTCCCATGCTGGGCATTGAATTTAGCACACTTTCTTTCAATTTCTTCATCTGGCTTGTTACACTATGCTCGTTAGTTAGTCATTCCCTGGGACGCCCTCGGGTCATTACAAAATTGAAGTAATTCTGTAATTGTTCTGTTTCAATTTTAAATGCATCTGTCCCCCCTGTCTGTGAGTGTTATGAAAAATACGTTGTCTGCATAAGGGTTAACTGTGAATTGAATAAGTTCGATGGGACAACGTACATTCGAGTGACAACATACACTTATCATTTTTTAAAGTATAGCCAAAATGTTAATTTTACATCGTGTTATATTTTACATTCGTTTCCACATATTTTGATGTTTCAGTCGATGATAGCGCACTGGTGGTTTATGTGTACCAAAGTTAAGGGAATCATATTCACCAACAGCATTAACTGGTATTAAATAACCGTCATCTTGTTTTACAGAGGGCGATGTACACGTAGAAGTATTGCATGTTGCAAATGGATTCGTATTTTCAAATACAAGTACAGCATTACCAGGTGTTATATAACAGTAGCCTTGTTGTTCAGAGGACAATGTAATCCTTGAAACATTGGAGGATGTAGACGTATTCCTATTTCTATCAACCATTCTTTCTGGAGAATGATTTGGAATGTGATCTATGTAAGTGTACAAATGATTAGGCTTGTATTCATCTTCACTCCTAGCTGCTCCATCAGGACTTATTTGTTCAAGTTCCATCAATTGTTGATTACTTGGAGGACCTTCATCATTTTCCTCTTTAAATCTGCATTGGAGGTAAAAGTTCATGTTTTATGATAGATCTGAATTGGAAAGCATTATATTCTGATTCATCAAAGGAAAAATGTTTTAAAACATGGTACTTTCCAAATATTACTTTGAAAGAAAATTATCCATCATCTAGGTGTTTATGTTTATGTTTATTTATTATTTGAAATACACACAAAATACAATATATGAACTGGGTGACACTTTAAAAAGTGTATATTCCCAATATTAGACAAAATAATACATGTGTGTTGTCATACCTATTTAATGCAGTTGGGGACCTGCCTATGTATTCATCTATTTGAACGAAAGTATTGGTTTGTCACATCATTATAGACCAAATATGAGGTAAAGTTTTGGCATAATGTCAAAAGTGTTCTTGAATACAATTACCCCAATGAGTGCATATATACTTACAATATAGTTTGAATATTATTTGGAACAGAGGCAAAATCAGGGGGTACAGCAGAGCTTATAGGAAATATAAGTCAGTTTAGTAAAAAACAAACAACAACAAAAAACAAAAAAAACACACAAAACAGCATAACTGTATGTGATTGAAATGTGTGATGTTTTACCATAGGACTTTAAGTGGAAGGTCAAATTGAAATCGAAGGTCAATGTTGCATGCGTGTGCGCATATGTATTGTGTAAGAGAAGTGGGTGTTAATGCCAAGTTTCTAGCAACGTGATATGTTACCTCTTATTGCCCCTGCGTTTATAGCGATACTTGTACCACAGTCCCAACAGGGTGAATGCAACGACAACAATAACGAATGCTGGGACCACTACGTAGAGCAACAGTGGGATATTTAGACCTGGTTAAGTAAAATAAAATAGGTAAATTAACTCTTTTGTATATGGATGTGATAATAAAGATACGAAAACAAGACTAACAAGAGATAAAAGGAATGGTATCGATATGGTGAACCCACGTTTCTCTTAAACCAGTCATAAAAAATCTAAAAATTTAACACATCGTCAATCTAATGGTCATCTTTTGAATGGTAATAATATAATTTGAAATATACACTTTCATCTATGTTGTTTTAGAAAACACGTCAAACACTTGTTTTGTTTTTGGTATCATGTTTCCAGAGTGAAATGAAACATCTTTCCGAACCTCATTGGAACATAACGACATAAAACAGGATCTTAAGAGGTTCTGGACAAATCATGATCATTTGATTCTGGACTTGTCATATTTTTTTTTCAACGAAATCACATCCAAGGGTTGAATTTTTATTAGCTATTTAGAGAGTTATTCCTGCCTAGTATTAATTTCAATAAAAAAGTTAAAATAGAACCCTATTTGAGAGTCAATCTAATACTTACATTACATTGATTAAGGCAAATCCTGAAATATTTTTAAAGTGCATTTTTTATGAAATATTATCCAGCAAGTATTTAGATGAAACGGTCTTATTTAAATACAAATTATACATGATGATATTTTTCATGAAACATTTTTCCTTTTTAATTTAGGTGAAAACCCTTACATGATGATGTGTTTTCATAACTTCTTTCATAAAATTCCATCAAGGGGTGAAGATAAAATGGTCGAATTTAAATGATTTAAGGATCACGAGAATATGTTTTCTTGGATATTTTCTATGAAATCCCATCCAATGGTCAAGGTAACATTTTGATTTTGATTTGGTATTAGGTCACGTGTTCCAAAGATCCATATAAGGCCCATAGAACCATATAGGAACATCATTTTGAATGTCACGTGATATATCCATATAAGGCTTTTAATACCATGTCGGGAAAGATGAGGGGAAGCCCCTGACACCTGTTTCACGATTTTATCCAATCATTTCGGTTTTAATGCACTTCATTATTGTACCGAAGTTTGCCGATTCGATTCGTCGTATTTCGGAATCCTGGTGACAATTTTAAACTCCAATTGGAGTATTTTTGATATACTTCTTATGACGAAAATTCCCGACCCTTGTTCGGATAAATCCGGTTTTCTGACCTACTTTATCTACCGAGATTTCACGAGTTAACATTCGTCTCATTTCGGAATCCTGGTGACAATTTTATACTCCATTGGAGTATTTTTGATCTACTTTTTCTGATTTTGCCCTACTTATTATATCTTGACAAAAATCAAATCAAAAAGTTCGACATGAACGGGTCTCGATCAACTAACCTAGAGCGTTAAAGCCAGGCACGCTAGCCATGAGGCCAACGTGCTACCGATATGAAAGAACAAAAGTATTATATTTATACCGAGCGTCAATTCAAAATGATCCTCACTTTTGACTCCGCTTAAATAAGACTCGTCAGTTGTATCCAGAATAGGTGAACGCCTATGGCGCTAGTGAATAACCAAGTCCCAGGTGAGTGGTTCGTATCCCGGCCTCCGTGATATACTATTTTTGTTTTATTAAATACAACAGAAAGGAGCAAGGTGTAGGTTGAAAACAAGACGTTAGTTTGTTTCAAAACAGTTTGGAAACATTAATCTCTGATAATTTAAAGATACTCTATTGAGACTGCTCTGTGGCATTTTTTCTTTATTCCTTTTTGTTTTGAATTTTTAACACCATAACATTAACTAACTACTCAATATGCAACTTTTCACCACGTAGAATTTTAAAATATTAAGTTTGAAAATTCCATTTTTATAATGGAGCTCAATGGGAAAAACTACATAATTTGAATTATTTTCAAACCTAGCGGCGCGATTTTGATAAAATTGACAGATATAATAAATATTGGTAAGACGAAATGTTTGATGAAAAATGAAGAAAATTCACCGTCCTGGTTACGCAAACTATAGAAAAATCTGAAATAATCATAAAAACCTGTAAAAATAGATTGAAGGGGGTGATATTCATTTCTAATGTGCCTTTCACTACTACAGGGTAACCATAATTTTGGTACTGATTTGATTTTTCAATGAAAATCATTTCTATAGTGTATAATGTTTAAATAACACAATTGCTATATTTCTTTACTGAACAGTGCAATCATTTATTTATTTATCAACAGTAATGCAAACTACATATTATACAGTTAGTAAAATATTAAAATAATTCTATTAAAATTAAAGCATTGAGATGATACTTAAATAATTACATATTATATTGATAGGCATATTATATTATAGGATTTAAGCCAATGACTCAATGCATTGTAGATGATTAAATTTAACATATGTCCTGATTCTAGACTATGAACGAGGGTGGTAGTCCAAATTCAAAGCCTAGACTAGAAGACATAAGTGAATTGAAGCATCCACTATTCATTGAATCATGTGCTTTAATTCAATTTCACACATTGCAAAATATTTTTTACAATTTCACTTAACAGAATGATATTTTTTCAAAGATATGTTGTACTTTTAGAATCATTTGCTTCAAAGAATTGAACTATGGCGGCCTTTACTCGTTATTTTACGATTTTTGCTGTAACTCGAAAAGTAGTCGAGCGATTTTGTTCATATTTGGTATATGAATACTATAAGCATGGCACACTGTTTAATGACACTTTTGGTAGAAGGCAGCCATTTTGAAAAATGGCCGTCCTTTTAACGTATTTTACTATAACTCGAAAAGTAGTAGAGCGATTTTGTTCATATTTGATGCGTGAATACTATAAGCGTGGCACACTGTCTAATGACACTTTTGGAAGAAGGTGGCCATTTTGAAAAATGGCTGCCATTTTTGCTGTATACTTTGTTTGTAAAAAAAATGCCAGCCATGGCTGTTCGATGGGATTTGCTACACTTTGGTGTTGCTGTTGTCTAGTTGAAGGATGGATGGACGGACAAATGGAGGGGTCTCTTAGCTTATCCCCTAATCTTCGTTGGATTGAACAATTGTGAATATGGTTTGTTGGACAAATAAAACTGATTGAATGTCTAAAAGCAAATAATGAAGTGGTAATTTATTTAAAATCATTAAAATCTCAAACATGCTTGCTTTGGTCTAGTCACTTAATTCCTAAATGTCCCGTAATTAGTATCTATATACCTTATTAGATGCAGTGAAGGAGTTAAATCATTGGGATATGAATAAATCATGCAAAACATATTTTGTACATATTTCTCATCATTTAGGGTTACCCAGTAGTTTACAAGCTGACCTTTGCAAAATATATTTCACTTACTATCCTCATTCGCTATCACGCTATCTAGTTTCTTTCCAAATTGGCCTGAATTGCCTGGTTTATTGGTTTTAGCGAACCGTCCGTTTCGTCGAACCATCATTTTGCTAAGGTTGTTTGTGATGAATATACAATATTCAGTTACATATAACTGTACAGCAACTTTATGCAAGGGAAGGTAATTGTGTGAGAGCACATAAAGTACACGAAGTATTGACCCACTTGTCTCAGTGAATCTTATAAACAGTGCATAAAGTTTTTTCTATGCAATGATTGGCTCACAGTTACTTATAGTGTAAGTTATTTTATTTCTATACAGTGTGGAATAGAGTGTATAAACTTTTACAGTTTCAAGCAGGTTTTAGTGTTTTCTGACCAATGATATATTCAGACTTATTCATTTCACGATTATGTAATACTGACCTACATATCTGTATAGCATATCTTTAAGGTTTTCCACTCCTGAAGGGCCTCTAGATCTATGAAATTCATTAATCAAGACAGTGTAAAATTTTTAGATATATGTAATACATTTTCATACTTTAGCCTGTGGAATCAACTAAATATTACATTTTGGATTTCATTGATATCCTGTCATAGTCCTAATTTTTTTTTCTGGAACATTATTTTTTCAACACTGATACAAATTTCCCTGATATTTCCCTGACATATCTACCGTTTCAAAATTCCCGGTCATCTTTGGCCCTTTTGACCTAATTCTAAAATTACCTGACATTTCCAGCACTTGGAAAATTAAGTCAATTTCCCTGACATTTGCAGGTGTGTACGAACCCTGGAAATATCCCAATGGCTCGCCCTATGAATCGCTAGCACAGATTGGATTGATTAGTGTTTCAAAATGGTGGACGAAGTGTTTGATTAGATAATTTACATATTGAGCTTCTTAAAGGGGCAACAAGGCCTGTACATAGAAAATTCGAAATTTTTTACATTTTCTGAATTTTTAGGGCAACATTTGGCTTAACATCTTTTTTTATACATTTTTTCTTAAAATGTATGGATAAACAATAAAATTTCAGCATTAAGCAGTGCAAATTCAGTTCAAAGCTTCTATAAAGGGAGTCCAACTTATAGATTTTGAAGATCCGACTCGTTTAAAGAAGAATATCAGCAGCTTAAATCACGCCCGGTGATCATACAAAATGGATGGAGGGGGGGAGTAGGCGATTTCTGCAAGAAAACTCAACAAATTTGGAAGATTTATTTTTTTCAAGATAAAATTTACAACTGAATTGCCAAATGATGTAAGGTCTTCTAGTATTTTTTTGAACTGATACGCTTCTAAGATATGAGATCTGTTATAAAAGGCGCATCATCATCATCATCATCATCATCAACGTGCAAGGTCAATGTTTTTGCTATAAATCAGGCAACAATGGTCTACACGACCTGTAATAGATAGGTATGAGGGGCGTTATTATCACAACACTGACATTGCTCACTTTTTAAAGTTGTTTCAATGCGTTATACAAAAAAAATAACCCCATTGTTACAAAATCACAAAAAGTGAAATATCTATTCTTGTATTGCACTTTCTTTCACTGGACATATTTTAATTTGCATTGCTATTAGATACATTTTAAGGGTGATATGAAAATTGAACCACGAAAAACAGATGTACTTTAAGTTTATGTCTAACAACAAAACAATCAATTAGAAACAAGAAAATATGAATATATTTAACTCTGCATCCAAATATATACAATCAACTATTAATTGGCTTTATTCCCTATGCCTCAAAAGAATGTTCATTGAAAAATGATAGCGAAGTCACCGTTGTGACGCAATTGCGTATATGCATAAGTCATTAAGTGGTATTAACTTAGGAGACAATCGGTGCTAGAGTTGAGACCATGCGCGGGGTCCTCCAGCCAGCTCTGAAAGACTCCCTTATAAGCATTAGAAAGTATAAACAATGTGACTTGTAGATCGTGAGAGCTGTTTTTACGTACCATGAAGAAGCTAATTTTTTATAGATACGATAAAAATTAAAGGTGCAACAATTAATGCTGACCGATCAAGGACCAGACTAAAAGATATTCCAGTTTGGATATTTCATGAAGACTAACTTATACTTTCATAATCCCCAAGGAAAACCCTGGATGAACATTATTTTAGCTGATTTCCCTCTTGAAAACATCATGGTAGATGTTAAAATCTATAGGTGGGACTTCTTTTATAGAAGCCCTGAACTGAAGTTACACTCCCTAATGCTGAAAATGATAGCTTATCAATAAATTTACGAAAATAGGTATCCCAATTGAAATGTTAAGCCAAACGTTGCCCTGCTAGCTCCATAAGAAAAGAAAAGGTTTCTCTCTACAGGCCTTGTTGTCCCTTTAATGCAATCAATCGTTCATCGGAGTGCTTTGGAAACTGGCTCCAAATGGTACCCTGCGCGCAGAATCTAGTTATAATCTAGGAAGATCTCTTTCAAGAAGTGAAGTCGAACGAATGTAAAGGGTATTCAAATGGATGCACTTATAACCGAAAGACTCCCTTATAAGCATAAGCATAAGCTGCTGGTTGTGTGTATCTGAATATGAGTACTTAGTTATAAGTATCGCATCTTGATCATAATCTTCACAATTATTTATAATAGATGCACGTACTATTCAAATAGACTCATTTTATACGGGGATCAAATGCAAATTCTGAAAATCCGTGAATATTTACACTTTAGAACATAAGTATAGTAAAATATAACATGGAGTATGGGGTATGTAGACCATGTTTGAACGATAGTACGTAAATATTGTCAACATGCTAGAATGACATTACCTGAGTTATAAATTATATCTTTGTTGGAGGGCCTGTCATAGTTTCTCACGTGGTGACTTGGTGTCATATGGTTAGTATTATTATAGCCCCAAACAGTAGCTCCTTGGTTCTGAGGTATGTTCTGTGATGACGTGTACTAGGTTATGCCGTGATATCAGCCGCTTCATCATAAGTCTTGGAAGCAAGCGCGACATTCGTTTCTCGAGGTTCTTCATTTCCAACTGATGTGCTATGAGCGGTAATATCATAACCATCGTCCCGAATTTGTTCAACAACGTCGTTTTTGTTAAACGTGAGAGAAACCTATATCCCAGCATCTTCACGGACTCGTCTGCTATTTGTTTGTTATGCATAGTATTTCTATGACTTCTATTTGTTTATAAGTGATAATACTTGAACTGCAAATGTAGACCAACGTGTATTCAGCTTGGTTACATTTGAAAGAAGAAATAACTTTACAAATATAGCTCTAATAATACGTGTGCATCCGTGTGCAACCACAACATGTCAAACAAGTCACGCCAAACTCTATATAAGGTTAGGCAGGCGTGGTTTATTTCGTTATCCATAAACTAAACTTATTAAAATAAGTTAAAATTAAAGGGAATTTTCTTCCATACCCGCCATGCTATCTGACCCGAACGAGCCACCTTGTGGTGAGACTGGTAACTACCTTCTCGCATCTGCGTTATTACGCAGAGACATAAACGTATACACAAGGAAACGATAGGAGCTAACCTATTTTATCTCTGTATACATTTTAACTTTTATACATCTTTACAAAAAATACAAAATACCCGTTACTTGATTTTTTGACCTTGACCGATTCTTGAATTGAATCGAATTTGTCCAAAGGTCTTGAAACGTAAAACACCTAAATATTTGTCTTTGACCTTGGGATGACCCTGTACAAGAAACATTAATGTTGACCTCGGTTCATCTAATCATAATTCGCCAAGGGCCATAGTATCATCAAACGCAAAATACCTAGACATTGATCGTTTACCTTTGAATGAACTTAACTCTGACGTTCGGAGACCAAAATACTAAGGTTAAATGGTGTAGAAGGAGATGTCCCGACAGACAGACAAAATGACAGACAGACCGAACATGCTTTATAGTAGGTCTCGACATCTCCTTTTGCCCTCATACTTGATCAGTGAGCGTTCTACTAAGGTCAGAGGTCAAAGTCATTCTAGGTTAAAGGCAGAATCAGATATATGGAGGTGACAAAATTACAAGCAACATGTACAACTGACGTACCAATCAATTCCTTACAATCTCAAATACAATATCTCACAAAATATTTACGATATGTTAGAAATTGATGAAGTTATAATAGATTAAAAGTGCAAAATTGTAAATAATAAGTAACCATTCTTATAGAAGAAATATACAAAAGTCATTGTTGTAAACTCTTTAGTTTTCCTGAAATAAAGTGTGCACTTTTGGGATTTTTAGAAAATAGACATGAAAAGGAATGACATAAGCCAGAAATATTCTAAAATTGAAACAATTTTTTTGTTAGACTGCTTGCTAGATCCGATTCTCTCTTTAAAATGTCAATATCTAGGTTTACGCGTTTTTTACCCTTGGTCTGAGATTCGACCCTTGATGAGGCATGATTAGGTGACCTGAAGTCAAGGTCATTCCTATGTAAAATATCAATATCTAGGTATTTGGTGATTTAAAGTCCTTTGGGCTGCTGTGACCCTTGGCAACCAACGATTAGGTGAACTTAGTTCAAGGCCAATGTTACTGGGTCAAGTTTGTTTCAAGATCAAACATTAATATCTAAGTATTTGGCGTTGTAAGGACCTTGAGGGCTACAATGACCCTTGACGACACATGATAAGGTGACTTAAGGTCAAAGTCAATGTGTATTGGCCAACGTTATTTCAAGGTCACATCTAGGTACTATCTAGTATCTGGCGTTTCACGAGGTTTCAACAAGTTCAACTCAATTCAAAAGTCAGTCAAAGTCAAGTTATCAATACAGGTATTTTGCATTTTATGGAGACTGCTGCTATGTGGACACCCTTCGTGATCCACTCGAACATGTAGATTTCTAGTATTTGTAAAGATGTATAAAAGTTAAAATGTATACTTTCCATGAGCTCCTATCGTTGGATTTAAATAAGGAGTATGATTTTAAAATTGGCTTGGTCGTGGTTATGCAACAATAGTATGTTCGAAATACCGCTGTGTAATGCCTGGATCACATTTGCTGCGAGTATTTTGTTCAAAATTGAATACATTTCTGAACACAATACTCAATCGGCCGGGCGCCGTAGTGAAAAT